GCTGGCTTTACCAAGTTTTCTAACATTTTTAACATTAACATATTTTAATACAACAACTGTTTTCCTTACTTGCATTATTCATTCCTATTATTAACCAGGAAAACTTTGAACTCCTTTCTAATGAGAATAATAATTCTAGCACTTGGCTGGCTCTCCCTAGAGTCTCCAATCCTACTTTGCTGTACACATCTTGGCAGTCCAAAATCCCTCTTGTAATTTTATGTTTTCTACCTTCCAGTTTCCACAGTCTCATGTCTAATTTACCAATTAATTTCACCTAGAATCATTAACCTTGTCTTTTGTTAATGTTCTAAACCCTTTAGCTCTTAAAAGCACTTTTGATCATTTTTTAAGCCTGTGTTTTGTCCTATAATGTGCTTTGAAGCTTTAGGCTTTGTTGACAAATTAAGGTTCTCTAGGTATTGAAATATCTTCCTTCAGCCTTCAAAGAGAAACATTTGCTCAGCCAGGCTTAGTGCTTATGGAAATCACACCATTTATCTGAGCTTTGTGTAAATTTTTCTCCTAAGTGCTCATTTACAAATGCTAAGAGTAAGATTTAAGGTCATTCTTAGACTCACATTTGTAAAATTTTGTATCTCCTTTATCTGTCTTTGTCCCCAGAGTATAAATATTTTACAAATAGGTATATGAGGGAAGGAGAGAGGATTTGGAAGATTTTGTCCTTTTGTTGGTGCTGTTTGTTTTTCAGGTTGGTCAGAAGAGCAGTATGGTATCATGGGAAAAACAGGCTTTGGAATCTGGCCATTCTGAATTAGAATTCCAGCTGTGCCACCTGTTAGCTCTGGAAATGGAGATCCACTTCATCTGGCTGGGTTTTGTGGGTGATCAGCAATGTACAAAGCCCCTGGACACCAAGCTATAAGAATGGGAGCCACTACCTAGCTGTGCAACCTTGAGCAAGTCACTTGAGTGAGATCTCCATGCCTCAATGTTTTTACACACAAAAGTGAAGTGATAAAAGATAATAAATATGCTCTTATTCATTGAACTGTGGCTAAGATAAGTAAGTTTAGTATAGTAGAGTGCTTAGAGCCACACTTTTCACATGGTAAGCACTATGTGTGTGTGAGCTATTACTATTGTCACTGTCTTTATTGCTATTACTATCACAGTTGGTCATGTATCTACCTGTCAATATCCATGCTGAGAGTGTCAGGAAAATTTCCTTCAGTCGCCAAATGCTTTGCACAGAGTAGGTAATCAATTAATATCTCATTGAATTATTATCATTTACACAGAGCTTATTTGGTGGGACAGGGTGGGGGTCTCTACCACCACAATCTTATACTGTAGTCTTCTTGCTGTCGCTGCATTTGTTTCTCTACTACTGCATCAGCAGCAACTTCTATACCTTTAGTATCACAGATTTGCTAATTTGGGGGGTGATACTTGCTACCAAAGTTTTACGACTTTAGCCCATTTTTCAGTATCTTCCTAACATTGTTATTATCAATATCTTACTTTATTTAATGCTTATAGGAAATCTGTAATTTATTGTGAATACTTGCCCACCACCAAATTAGATTTGAGACAAAATCCATATAAAATATTTAGTGCAGGTCCTGGTACATGGCAACTATGAGATATGTATGTATGTATACATGTATGCTAGTCTTACTATTGTCAAATATTTTATATAAATTATCTAATTAAATCTTTAATAAATAATCCTATGAGGGGCACCTGGGTGGCTCAGTGGATTGAGCATCCTAGTCTTGATTTCACCTCAGGTCATGATCCCAGGGTCATGGGATGGAGCCCTATATCTGGCTCCACACTGAGCATGGTACCTGTTTAAGATTCTCTCTTTCTTTCTCTCTCCCCTCTCTGCCCCTCTCCCCTGCTTGCACTCTAATTAAAAACAATAGTCTTATGAGGAAAATTCCTTATTTCACATATGAAATAACTGATGTTCAGAGAAATAAACAAATTGAGATCACAAGTTAGCAAATGAGAGAAAGCATTCAAACCATGGCCTATCTTATCCTAAAAACACTCTTTACACTACATTTGGGTGGGACTTCACCAGTTCTCCCTTTTTCTTTTTCAGAAATAGTTTCAATTTATTCCCATCTCCTTTTCAGCCTTTAAGTGGGAATACTGCTTTTCCAATTATAAGCATTCTCCTCCCTAAGATCTATAGAGGTCTCTTCAAATCCTTTTCCATTTGGGGCAATATCCTTCAAAGCGAGGTTGAGCAAAAAGCCCCAGGCTTTCATCGTTCTTACAAACATATTCCATATAGTAAGTAGTTTAAAAGCCTTAATATCAGGCTGAATCTGTGTGAATCTGAATATCAGGCTGAATCAGATTCAGATCCCATCTCTACACAGACTAGCTCATAGGGTCATTGTGTGTTACTCTACTTCAATCCTTACATTAACTGAAATAAGTACTTGTATCATCTGCAATTTGTACCTGAATAGATGGGCTGAGAATGGTCCCACAGTTCACTGTATGGTCAGCCATCCTGTTCGGAGTTCCCAAATCAAGCTGTGTACAGTGGGGACCCACGCCCATTTTAGGCGGGCCTGGCTCATCCTCTCTGAGCCACAGTAGTGACTGATAGACTAGGGATACCTGTGCTCATCTCTCCTCTGCAGCTTCCCTCTCTCAACTCTTGTCCTTCTTGGTTTCTCCAGCTCCTAATGAGTTTTGTTCTTTCCTTGGAAGGTTTTAACTCAGACACTGAGCTGCCTTATTTGATATGCTACAGTCATAGAATATTGTTCTACTGTTTTGTTGTTGTTAGGAAGCCCAAGAGAACACAGAGCTGTAGCCACACATCTAAGTGCTTTTGTTCATTATCATGCAAGCTCAAGAGAAAACCATCTCTGTGTCATTAGTGTGATATTACTCTTAAAAGATCTGAAACAATCATGGCAAAAATTGTTAACATCTATTTAATCTGGGTGGTGGGCACACAGGTGTCATTGTTTCCTATACTGTTCCATAAGTTTGAAATATTTCATAAATTAAGTAAAAATAACTGTAAGTAGAAAAAGCTATCATCTCACAAAAGGCAAATAAAATATGGCTTTCCTAATAGAGTTACTACTCACAGAATGAAAATACTTGCTACACACTGGAAAACAAGTAAATACTGAAATGCATAATTACTTCACAGTGGATTACTTATTACTGTTTTCCCCAAGGGGTTTTTTTTTTTTTTGAGACAGAGACACAGAGAGAGATAGAGAGCACAAGCAGAAGAGGGGTAGAGAGAGGGAGACAGAGAATCTGAAGCCAGCTCCAGGCTCTGAGCTATCAGCACAGAGCCCGACATGGGGCTCAAACTCATGAACCACAAGACCATGACCTGAGCCAAAGTCAGAGTTTAACCAACTGAGCCACCCAGGTGTGTCCACAAGGTCTTAAAATATACACATGTCTACTCTTCTGATTTGAGGTTTGATGGTTAAGGCTTTCAGGAGTCATCCTCTACAGTTAAAGGACTAGCTATAGAATGGATGTAAAGGTATGGAGCCAAGTTTGGTGATGACCAGAGGTGCCAAATAACTAGACATCAAGAAGCCAGAGAGAGTGACATAAATCACCAATAGGAGGGAAAGTGGATGATGGGCAGTGAGGAGGGCACCTGTTGGGATGAGCACCGGGTGTTGTATGGAAACCAATTTGACAATAAATTTCGTATTAAAAAATAATAATAATAAATAAATAAATAAATAAATAAATAAACATTAAAAAAAATTTTTTTAAATCACCAATAGGAATTAAAGCCTCATTCTCTCAGGCTAAGCAACATGTTCATCAGCCTCCTGAGAAGGATTCCTTCTCTCAAAGGCAGACTTATGTTAACCAAACTTACAAGACTGATGAATAAAATCAGGGTGCAAATATATTATTTTACAATGAGAACTCTGTCATAGAGCCAGTGTACTGATTCCGTGTAGAACAACTGCCACTGAACAACAAAATATAATTACACAATTCACACAGCATGAGAAAAGTGGAGTTGTTAGCTACCTTTGTTGAATATTTAATAGTACCAAGCTTAGCCCAACGCATCTATCTCCATATATGGGAAAAACCTACCAATAAGAACAAAATGCTAAAAATTATCCATTGTGCAAAACTCTGTCTTCTGGCTAGTGCCTAAATAAGCAATGCCAAATATCGCCCTGCCTTCATAGTTATCAAAACGCTCTTTGAATTGAGACCTTCCTTCATGAAAGGTGTTGTTGCACTCAATCTTATAGGCCAAATGTCACCTACAAAATCACTTCTACCAATTATCTTTCTTAGAGCTTATAAAAGACTCCATGTAACAACTTAGGTTGAATCATAGATAGATGAGAAGATCTTTATGAGGTCCTATCTTGTAATGCATGAAGTTGTTCATCAATGTATCCAAAGTTCCTAGAGCAGTGCTAGTGAGTTAACAGACAATAAATATTTCTAACATAAGTGAAAAAAATCCTCTTGAAAAACATTTTTTTCAAGTAGTTCAGTACAAGCTTAAAGCCTACACATTTTAACTAATCATTTCCACTTCTCGTTTGATAAACACAATCATTCCAGACTTCAGAACTTTGTCCTACACATACTTTTCCACACTGAGCCTGAGCTAGAGAAAATCCCCCAAAAGCCATTCATCACCCATCAGCCAATACCATCACTTCTATCACTATTACCACAAAGGCCTATTTATTCTAGTGGCCCTATGTATTCTTGTGGCCAAATAGACACCAAAATTAACTATCAATTCGTGAGAAAGAAATTTTGTCTTCTTCCTATACCAAAGAACATACCAACCACTCTTACGGCATGACAAAAATAAGTGTATAAACATTACTAAAACCTGTATTCATGGAAACATATAGCACCTTGAAACTAAAATGGGCCAAAACAAAGAAAGTTTTTGGTGAAGTCGTAAAGTTCGAGAAGGCATAAATCCAACTCTCCTTAAGGTAAAACTCATCCCAGCATGCATGTGCCATGTATGTTTTACTCACTGCGTACTGGAACTTTTCATTATGTTCACGGTCATTGGCTTTCACTATCCGTTCTACTTCTAAAGAGAAGGAGAAATCAGGTATGAAATTAAATTTTTGACCCAAAGAAACATATAACTCATTAAACTAACATCACTTAGGTTACTTTGATTGTAGTCAAGGTTGCAAGAATTCTTTCCTTTGAAATTTGAAGGGCATTGGTTTTTTCCAGCCTAAATGTTGGAACATGTGTTGGAAAGTCCCAAAATGGAAAGCTGAAATTTGTCTCATTGTAATTCTGATGCCAGCCATAAAACAAAACATTATGTGTCTCCAATTTCTACATCCCTTTAGCTCCACAAAGACCCTTTCTCTTAACTCCGAGTAGTTCCTAAAGGAGAATGCTGTTGAAAGTCAAATGCCACACTGAGATTTTTTTTTCTTTTTTTTTGCTACCAAGTCACAAAATACTGTATAGCTAAACAAAACCATACTGAAGTGGCCATGGAGGTCACTGACCTTCTGGTCACTGAGCAAAAATGATTTTTTTTTTTTTTTTTTTTTTTTTTTTGAGAGAAAGAGAGTGCATGATCAGGGGAGAGAGACAGAGAATCCCAAACAGGCTCCATGTTGTGAGCACAGAACCCAACGCAGGGCTCAGACCCATGAACCATGAGAGTTGGGTGCTTAACTGACTGAACCACCCAGGCATATTCAGAGGAAATGCACATCATCAGGAGACTGAGACTTGCCCTTTGCTGGAAGTAGCCAAAATATCTTCTGGGGAAAAAACGCAAACACCAGTACAAATAAAAAAATAAAATAAAATAAAACAACAAACTCAAAGATTATGATGGTGCAGAAATTAAAATTTGCACTGGCAAAGGAAAAACAGTGCCCCCGAAACACCAGTAGAGCATGTTTTTGTAGTAAAAGTAGCAAGTTCTTGCTCCATCTTAATAAATTCAGAGTTGACAAAAGGGTGATGATGGACTAATGAAAGCTATGGAATGGAGACCAGCAAAATGAACACCAGATGTCAATGCAGAACATTCAAGATAAGTGACTTCATCATTTCACCTGGGACCCCCTTAATCCCACAGCTCTCCACCTGGGTAAGTGACAGGTGGTAAAAACTATAGGGATAGTAATAAGAGTCTGAGTTTGGAGAAGGTACTTAACCACAGAGATAAAGGAGACTAGAGGGTGGAAAGTAACTTGGAGGCATATATTAGGGATGGGGGAAGGAAGAGCAAGGGGAAAGCAAAGAGAGGAAGAGCTGAAAGTAGAATTAAGGTGACAAAGATGAGGGAAATGAAGAGAAGCGGGGAGGAAGAAAGGAACCTATTTTATCACCACTACCCTCCCTAGGCCAGGTACCACGATTTGTAAGAACTAACAACTTTTTCCCCAAAGTCCAAGAGGAATCTGTCTCTACAGCCCCATTGGCTTAAGTCTCAAAATATGATGCTACGTTTATATCTGGAGACTGCTTCTGACAAATGACACCCTGTCTTTGGTTATGGTTGATTCTCTACCTTTTGTGAAAGGTCTGTTTGACATCCACCTACATGGCTTTCTTCTTACCTATGTAATTAAGTCAGTTCCCTGTGACTATTCCTGTTTTCAAGGCTAGCTCACCTAGTTTCTGATAATAACAATATTGGACTGATGTCCACAGCTGATGACACCTGAGTGGGCTTGTCCCTAACATATGTAACTCTGAAATCCTGAATTCACCAGGAGGCAACCACTTAACCAATCATCCCCTGCAGGAAACATTTCAAACCCTGGCTATCAAAGCATCATCCTATCCTTCTTATTGCTTCCCTAACAAAGAGCAAAAATATCAAAGCCCAAAATGGTATTTTGGAGGGTGAGGGGACTTAAAGCTTAAAAAGCTGGATGATTTGTTTAAACATCCCTACCTTCACCCAGGCATGGTAAAACTGCTGACAGGAAAACAATGGATGTTATTAGGAGGATGAAAGTTAACCTGGCCCACCTGGCATCCTGCTTGTAAGTTAAATATTAACTTTAGCTGTAAGTCAAAAATTAGATATGCTAATTTGTACATTAATTGCCTTTAGTTGACCTCACACACATTCAGATGGTCATTATTTTTAAATTTCACACTATAAGGAGCACATCCAGGGATAGAATTCTATAGTTATGCACCTAATTTTAGTCACTCCAAACACCAGAATCTTGACTCCTGTCCAGTGTCTCCCTGTAACCACCCTCCCCAAGGACTGAGAATAGCCCTTTCCCCAAGGGGCCAGAAGAGTAATTTCTGCACTAGGAAAGTTTGAATGTTCTTCTCCGTGTCCGCAAGAACTTGGACTTGCTCTTGCTCTTGTCCCGTGAGATTTTGTTAGAGCCAGGAAGTCTTCTTTTGGCTTCTAAATCATTATTATTAAATCTTTATTTTTGGTTCTGTACTTCTACTAAGTACTATCTTTCTGAACTGAGTCTTTATGAATAAACTCTGGCATCCTATTTTCCATCCCTTCACTAAGCTCTACAAAACCCCGACTTTGGTTCTACATCCCTATAGCTTTGTGCCTTTAACCTAACTCTGCTAGGCCAAGAACTGACATTCTTTCATGTGCTATGACCGTGGGTGAGGGGATGTAAACCTCTCTTGGCAATATGTCACATCATGTAAGAAGAGGAAGCTGAAAATTAATCCTCAATAAACAATTCCCAATCATTGTTCAGAGGTTCAATGACTTAATGCCCAATATTCCATAGGCATTTCAGGAACCTTCCAGCTGTGAGAATACTGAAAGAAAAGTACCCACTAGGAGATAAATGATTTACTAGGATAAGCTCACTGCTACATAACCATTATCACTGAACTTTCGTGGTTCCAAAAAGGTGTAAAGTGATACAGAAGGATGTATAAAATATAGTGAGCCAGCATATGTTAAACTGCAGTTCAAAGAGCTTCCAGGTAAAGATAGCAAACTAAATATGTCCTTCTACCACTCTTCCCACTCAGGCCTCACTGAAATAGCAGCAATAGGTCTTCTTTTTTTTCTTTTTTTTTTCTTTTTTGAAGAATAAAAATGTAACAGTTTTGGAAAACAAGTGGAGGCTAGAAGGGGTTCAAAATTTTAAAAATTCTCAGTGAAGCCCCAGAGAAGTTCCAAATTCAGTCAATAAATACAAAGGTCAAAAATGTGTTATACATAAGGTGACAGTCCCAGTTTATGCCCATTGTCTTGGCAAAGTAACTAATAGGATCACCTTTCACTCTCAAAAGTGTCCTGGTTTGGAAGATAAATTATCTGTTCAGTCTAGTTTTTGAGCATCACCAGAACATTAAAGAAAAATTGAGCTAGGTGGGCCCCTCACTCACACCCTCCAACTTTGCCCACTAACGAGAGTAGGCAACATGCCTGGGAAGGAAACCAAGAGTGGGTGTTCAGACCTAAGAGAAGCAGCTCTGAACCTCCACATCAGGTACAGGAGACTCAGGTCCTAGTAAACGCTGCCTTACAAAGGCAGCTCTGGGATTTGCCAGACTATGGACTGAATGCCGGTGACCCCAGAAAATTCACATGTTGAAACATTCCTAATGTGATGGTATTTGAGGGCCTTTGGGAGGTGGTTAGATTATGAGGGTAGAGCCCTCATGAATGGGATTAGTGATCCTATAAACGAGGCCCCAGAGAGCCCCTTGCCCCTTGCATCCTATGAGGACATGGCAAGAACACAGCCATCTGTGAACCAGGAAGCAGGCTCTCACCAGACAGCAAAACCACGGGCACCTTGATCTTGGACTTCCCAAGCCTCCAGACCATGATAAATAAATTTCTGTTGTTTGTAAACAACCCAGTCTATGGTATTCTACTATCGTAGCCAGAACAAACTGAGACATGCAGAAAAACCTCCCTGTGAGCTGGCTACATCACCAACCCTCCAATTTAGAGAAGAGGGCTGGCAGGGGGAAAGGGTTTTACAACTGCCCTCATGTATCTAGTTAGTCCTTCATTTGTAAACACAAACCAGCAACCGTAAGTCACCAGACATCTGAGAAAAAATCAATAGCACAAAAGGGAAGGATGCAAGAGGAAGAGATAATGCTAAAAACAGGTGGGGAAAATGTTTTTTATGCTAATTAGTAGCTTGAAAATATTCAAGAAGACATAGCACCCATGAAGCAAAAACAAGCTGATAGGAATAAAGATAGCAGAAAATAAGAAAGAGTTCCTGGAAATTAAAAATTATTTAATGGGAAACTGTATAGTAGGATAGACAGAATGAAAAATAAATTGAAGAAAACTCTTCAAATATATAGTAAAATGACAAAGAGGAGGAAGATGTGCAAAGAACACTTAGGAGAAGAGAACATAAACAATGGATAAGTAGAAATAATCAACTAAGCAGAAGAAAATTTCCCTGCACCAGTCTAAGATATAACTCTTCAAAGAGGATGAATGAAAATGGAGGGACAGGTATGCAAAAAATTTTGAGCTCCAAAGACAAATAGAAAATATTTTAAAATTTCAGAAGAGGAAAAAAAATGGCTAGCCCTTATCGACACAAGAATCAGACTAACATGAAATTTCTCATCAATAACACGGATGATAGAAGACATTAGAGTGATGCCTTCTAGCTTTAAGGAAAAATATGTTTGAGCTTAGAATTCTACACCCAGCCAAATAATCAAGTGTGAAGGGGCAGTAAGAACACTTTCTGACATACAAGTGTTTATGTACAAATACATCTCCAAAATAACTCAAGAATGTACAAAATAACTCAAGAAAATAGTTTAAGTATTAAAAATAAAGTCATGTGAGAGAAGATATAGAAGCAAGGATGATAATCAACTATAGTGAAGAAGGAAAATAAAACTACCTGACATGATCACCCACATACCTGTTCTAAGTGGGCCACAAATTCTACAGAAAAAGGAAAAGCTGGTCTATTTCCATTTATTTCACTGCCTATATGGTAAAAATAAACCAGTTATTCAGGAAAAGTACAATTATATATTAGTTCTTGGCTCAAACAATAATATCTCTAACAAATCCTCATAAAGAAGTCATTGTTTGATACAAAAAACATAAAA